GCATCGCTTCTAGTAACAAGTGCCTTACTAGTAGTAACAAGAAGCTATTATATAGATGGACCGTATATGCACCTTCTTCGACCGTAGATGTCATTGCCAGGTGGCCCACGCTTGTCTGAGACAATGTGGCTTGGTTGGATGTTGCATGCTCGATCGATCAGACAGTCTGGGGCAGCACTCGTCACAAGCGAAGATATCGAAGACCGCAAAGCATCACACTGCATCACACTGCATCATCAAACAAAGCGTTCGCAAGGCGTTTGCCAGTTTGGTTTCGGACCTCCATGGATTCGAATCATGTCCAAATCCGTGAGATTGGAAGTATGTAGCTCTGAGGAATAGGTGATATGGGCACCACATCCTTAGATTCTTTGGTGCCCAACTGAGCCCAAAACACCGCAACACCAACACACCAAAACTTCGTGGAAATGGAGCCCAACCGAGGAGCGATTGTAAAAAAATGTCAGAATAGGTGTTCCTCGGAACCTCAGCGCGATGCAAGAAGCGAACTCTGGGACAGAAGGCATCTCCGATGAAAAAATAGCCTAGCTGAGCGCAGGACATTGCCAAGAACGGGTCAATGGACTGAAAGAGGTTGTACATGCAAAGCCACCTGAGCATTGGGTTTGCAAGCAAGCACAGACATTTGGCGAGTACTCTCCATCATCTCTCATCTAATCATCTGATTGTAATGGCCTCCAACCTGGAAGGGGTGGCCTGCAACCTAGTCTAATCACCACTGACGAGATTTCACGTCCCAGAAGTCAAGTGATGTCAACTCCAAGTCACACGTGGTATTGTGGCGACCACATGAGGATCGTGCTCGGTGTACAGCACCCCAAAATCAGCCACTTCAGAATCACCACCTCGCTCACGGAAGCAAGAAAAACACCTGGTTTTCTGCATCTGATACGGGCAGTGGCACCTTCAGGAAGATGGGTTTTCCCGAGACTGTTACAAGGAACATTTAGTTATTTGAAAAGTTTGGCCCCAAATATAAAGCCATGGCAGGTCCATCAAGAAATTGTTTAGTGTTTACTGTACATCTGGGGTTGTAACTTTTGATGGGATGTACCAAGTGTTTGCTACGTTTGCTCCCAAGCGGCTACAAGCATCAGCAGCAGGACACTCACAGGCCACACGAGAGGGAGAAAGATCAAGGTCCTAAGAAAAAAACAATTTTTTAAGCCATCGCTAGTAGGTTGGAGGCCATCGCTAGTAGGTTGGAGGCCATCGCTACTAGTTTGGAGGCCATTGTTATTAGGTTGAAAGAACACTTCTGAGATGCTTGGCACAATGATTGACAGGTCTCCAGTAGCAATCGGTGCAAAAGAAGTGATTTGCATACCAAAGCCAACCTGGACAGAAAGAAACGCACGCGAGGAAACACAAAAAGAATGATATGTCTGGCAAACGGTCACGCACTGCACTCTCGCAAGGCCTATCCAAGCTGCAAAAAGTACTGGCACCATAAGAACCTCAATTTCCGGCATGTCTCAAGAAAAATTATCAAAAGGCTTGCTGCTCCAGTCCAGTCTAAATACCTTTTAAACGTCAATGCGTGTAGTCTTTGTCGTGTTTACAAAATAGATCATCCTTGACATCACATTTCCATGCACAAGCAATTACTCCTCTTGGACCCTACCTCCTTAGATTCATAGCAACCAAGAGTCCACTGGCCGAACAAGGAGCAAAATCAGCTGTAGTATTAGGCACAGTGGATTGAACTGACTCCACCTGCCATCACCAAGTGGTGGGGCCTGTGTTCTTGGTTGGGCAAGTCTTTCTTTGGCCAGTGCCTGGATACTAGGAACAAGAAGCTACTAGGTGGAGGCCATCGCTATTAGGTTGGAGGCCATCGCTACTAGGGTGGAGGCCATCGCTACTTGGTGGAGGCCATCGCTACTAGGGTGGAGGCCATCGCTACTAGGGTGGAGGCCACCGCTACTAGGTGGAGGCCATCGCTACTAGGGTGGAGGCCATCGCTACTACAATGGAGGCCATCGCTACTAGGGTGGAGGCCATCGCTACTAGTAACAATAGAGTTTTCTAGTATGTCTTTGAAGCTTCTTGGTAAAGGGGGACTCTCTGCATCATTGGCATATCATGGTCAAACATCTCCAGTCCCCCCCAAGACATAGGGCTGCAGGCGTATCCAATAAGTTTGTCAGTGTGCTTTGGATACAGTTTCCACTGCACTAAGAACTAATAAGGGGCTGGGGCTACTGTGAGCAAGGACGCTACGTACTAGGGGCTCCTGGCATCGCTACTAGGAGCAAGGAAGTATTAGGTCCTATCACACTTGAGAGACTGTGGGAAATAGATTAAATGATCCTCTTCCCTCGGCCCTGATCCTTGCCACTAGCAAATGCACTGTTCGGAACACCCGTGTGCGCACCCGTTTGCGCGTCTGTCGTGGATCCTGGCAATTTCCTTTAGGCTCTGCTTCGGAGAATCCTCTTCACTGGTAACCTTGGACACAGGCCATTTGCTCTGAGGTTGGAGGCCATCGCTAGGGGCGGTTGGCCAAGGCCGTTGGATCATTGGAGACGTGAGCTGAACAGATCAAGACCGCTCGCGGTGCAAACATGAAAAGACGCATCGACAGGGCTCCCGGGCCAGAACTAGATCTTCTCTCGACTCAATATGCTTGATCCTCAAGCTAGCAAGCACATGGCTGGTTCATCGACACATCGCTGAGATTCTCGCAGTCTCACCCAATATCACACTTCAGAGGTTCTAACCAGCAATGCTAACCAGCATGCAGCTAACCAGCAATGCAACCAGGCTGCAGATCAGTCAAATTGTCATTCTCGAAGAGCAGTGTCGGAGAAAGCTCTCCGCCGCGCAACATGCCTCCCAAGAGGTTGATGACCTTGGAAGAAAAAACATCTTTTGCACAAACACCACATGCCAAACACATTCGAGGGCGAACCCCCACCAGCACCCTGTCATTCACATTGGCTGTGTGTGTGCTTCGCTGAGTGTCTTGTCCGCATTTCTGTCTTTGTTTGTGGTGATTTTCTATAATTCCCATCAAAGGAAGTAAAAGGAGCAACGCCAACACCTCCACGGCTTGGAGGTTCGTCTTTTTCGCGGAAAGCCGTTTTCAGGACGTTTTCAGGACGTGCTTCTGCTTCGGAAACTAGCGATGTTGCCCGTGGAACGCAAAGCGTTTGCCAACAACGGAAAGAATAAGAATATGCATCGGCATCTCACTACGTGGATGTCTAGAGTTGCCCCCCATTCTCTGCTGGGTGGCATTTTAGGACGCTCCCCAGATACACATGAAATTGCATGTTCCCTCAATATTCAAGATCTGGATCCCTCTCAAGAAGTGGTAGCAATCTTTTTTTTGGATCGCTGCAAATGCAGAAGTTTGCTATTTCTGCGGCGAGGGACGTCGGTCTTCCAGAACAAATCTGTCGTGCAACATTGGGGTTCTATCAGAACCGGATGTGTTTGCTACAACTGCCTTTTGCAAGGCCTTTGTTTGTTCGAAGAGCTCAAGCTCACGAGCAGAGTTTCCAAAAAAGTGAAAGGGCAGTCTGGGAGTGAAGGAAGCGGCAGTTAGATCATGTTCAAGGATTTTAGCAGGAAAGGCTGATTCACTAGCTCTAGGAGTTGCTCAACAGCTTGGACTAGGTTCTCTGAGATATGTTCCTTTTCTTTGGCTGATGAGGCTGGCTGGCAACACAGGGGGTTGCCCCCTGGCAAGAACTCTTTTTCTGAGTCTCAAACCCGGGTAAACTCCATTGAGGCCATATTCAGGTCCATGAAAGGGGTGTCAAAGTCATCAGCTGTGATTGCCTGGTAGTGCAGCGTGCAGTTCAGTTCACATGGAAGAACATCACAAGACAGTTCAGTTCACAAGCTCAGGGCAATGCTGAGATTCAAATATTTTTGCGATAGCAAACATGTACTTTGAGGCAACAAACCACTCTCTTGTCTTTACAAGTCTGTTGAAGCTTTTTTGAAGGCTCTGAAAGCTTCCAAAGGTGCTCGACCCAACACAGAGGCCACAGCACCAACCACCTCAAGTGGGAGGAGTTCTGAAAGGGACGTTTGGACTGTCCCCTTCCCATTCTAAGGATATGGCAGCTGCCTCCTTCGTCGCAAAATGTTTCTGTGTTTTGGTCTGTACATGGCTCATCTCTAAGGACTTTTCTCGGATCCTTGGAGACAGCGACACCGGACGGGGGAGGGAGTGGTAGGCGAGAATAGGCTAGTAAGCACCAAACACACACAAAGGAGCTCAGGCTGAATGATTTGGTTCCTGGCTCCTAGATTTCTTGGCTTCTAAGTTGGAGGCCATCCCTATTAGGTTGGAGGCCATCGCTTGCCATCGCTTCTAGGTTGGAGGCCATTGCCTAGCAAGCCAAACAGGCCAAGCATCTCATCTTTCTTGAGTTTTCCAGAGCCCGTCATAGGAAAGGCATGTTGCCTCCAAACATGGACCTGAGCAAAGAAACAGAACGCGAAATTATTCCTCCGTTTTAGCTAGAAGAAGACTCTACTACCACGTTTAAAAAAATAAGAACACAGAAAGCGAGAACCATCTGTAGTCCTCTCAATCTTTTCTGGGGCTCAAACTGCCACTGGGACTTTGAAGGCAGCCAAGGCTTCAGAACACCTCCTCAGAAAAAGACCCAGGTGATTCGTCTATGATTGGTGAAGCTCAGTGTTTCCTCTGTTCTTTTGCAGGAAAACAACAGGCTGCGTCCTTTCACTCTATTGACCTCAAAGCTCTTCATCAGCTCTTCATTCTGAGGATCGAGCTTGTGAATCATCTGTTCTATGTCTTCATCATGCATGCCATTCAGAGGTCCGGCTTCCGTGAGCATTACTGCACAGTGCACAACCTGCGGCTAGGACAAAGGGAGCAGTTTGCGGCATAGCTTCCATTCCCTTCTTTCTGTTCCTTCTGCTGATCTGAACTATCTACAAAGTGGGCACTGGAAGGCCTCTCCCAGGGCATCATCTGGTCCTCCAAACCTGATCACAGCTCTGGTTCCTTCCTCGTTGAACTGTTTGAAAAGCACTTCCCACTGGGAGCCCGACACAGCAACACGATAGATGCCGTGCAACCTGAACCACTGAGGTCCGTCACTTGCCAGAACAAAGGTCTGGTGTCATTGCGAGCTTCGAAAATTTCGGACGCACCTGGAAACGACCATTTCCACCTCCATGGCAAACACGTTTTCGCCGCCCACAATGATCATGTCCTGGAAAGGAAGATGGACAAACCCACCTTGACCAGGAAAGAATTGACGTTTAGACTCTCAGAGATGCTCAAACTTGAAGCTTCATGAGCTTCACGAAAATGGCAGCGGGTACAATGGCAGCTTCTTGAGATTTAGGAGTCCGAAACTCTTGGTCTTGCGACGTCGTGTCTGACTTTCCTTGGATCGCCCACTGATATAGAGCTGCTTCTTGTTGTTCTTGTATCCCAGGTCCCCACTGCGAAAATAGCCGCTGGCCGTGAAAACCTCAGCATGGTCGGTGTTTTGATGTCCTTCCTCTCCAACGCACATCTGCAGCAGGAACCAAATGCACAGTGCGTATCCTGCATCCTACCTAGGAGCGTCCATAGCTACTGGCTTACCTCTTCTGGGCAGAGCGCCCCCGCAACCCTCCAAAAACCTAAAATAGAAGTACAAAACAAAATACAAACAAGTTGCCTCCTCGTTCAAGGACGAATTGTAGTCATACCCAGCAAACACCGTGGGGCCACGGATCGAAATCTCACCCACCTGGGCATCGGCTGGAAATGGCTGAATCTCGATGCTCCAAAAACAGAGAGAAAAGATCCCGGGTTTTTCCGGATGTCTCGTTGTCTCAAAAGAGGAATTTTAGACACGGTGTTTTTGATATTTTCCTTTTTTGGGGTCTAATCATTCTAATCATTTACTGTAATCATTTAATGCTCCGTCCCATCCCTTAGAGCCCAGCGGTACCATCAGCCACTTCCTCGTCTGCTTCGTTCAAAATCACCAAGTCGAGGCCTGAGACGTCGTAGTCGTTGTGCCGGTCTCAAACAAGAACGAGAATCTATACCTATAGCTACTTACAGCGTAGCTACTAGTAGCGAACCTTGCTCCTAGTAGTACGGCCAACAGCCCCGTTCGCAGCGTCCTTGCTCCTAGTAGCGATGCCCTTTGCACCTAGTGGCTTCT